GAGCTGAATTTATCAGAGGAATAAGGGTGGGCGATGGGTTCAGAGGCCTCACAGGATTTGGACAACACAGCGATTGAAGACCAAGGTAGGACTTTGGCATTTGCGTGGAGTAACACAGGAACCATTGTCAGATTACTACTAGACGGCTGATTCCTAACAGTGCAATTGACCCTCACTTCTAACTCAGACCCCCAAATATGCTTCATTCCTTAGTGTGAGTCCATGTGTTATCTCAATTCAGATCTTTAATCCAATTCTACCTCGGTCCCACAAGTTGACCCATCACAGACATTGGTGTTGCCTACCCAGCATGCACTCCTTCTGCCACTTGTCAGAAACTTGATTTCGTTTGGACAATCTGCTGCGCTCAAGTGACTACAAATGAACTTTACTGCACCAAGCAGTGGGGAGGGGGCATGTCTGCTGTCCAGGGATTGGCTTATAAATAAACATGTCATACAATGTTGGCCAACGAGGAGGGAGGGGAAGACCACTGGTTACTTCAGGGAACTGCTCTCCTCTTCCCAAAGTGAGGCAGGAGAAGAGTTCTCCTCAACTCTGTTAGACAGGGTCCCTTCTGGGTGTAAATTCTGGAAGGGAGGCAGCGCTCCTGGAACTGGGGAGGGAAGTGGCCGGGGTATAGAGCCATAGCTCTGGGGATGGACAAATGGAGAGAAAGTGATGGTGATGGGCAGTGTCTTTGATGAGATTGCTGAGCTGGTGAGTTAATGCTCCATGGAGCCCCTTCATCTCATGTCTCCTGCAGGTTTCCATCCTGGTTTAAAGTTGCTGTGTTGCTGTTGCTCCCACTGCCAGAGTCTTTTTAGGTAGAACTCGACATCATGTACAGATTTCATTTCAAGTCTAGAATTGGATCCCAAACAATCAATTCCAAATCTAATTCTGAGCTGAATCTCCATGTGGAATCCAAATTAACCAACAAACCTTTCCCAGTCTCCAGGGGTAGCTCTTCTTGCCATCTCTGATATTTCATTATAGCACTTAACTGTGAAACGGAATTTTTGGACTGGAACCCGGATTCTTTGTCTCCCGGAATCGAAGAATAAAACCACAGACAGAAGTGGTATAGCAAAGATGGAGATTTATTGAAGAATAAGTAGACTCCCAAGTGTGGAGAGGGAAAGAGTCCCACAGAATGGACTCCCACGTGGGGAGGGGGAAAGGGTCCCACTGAGTTCCTTTTCCCTATGGCTTATAAAGGCTGCAGATCCTGGTGCCTTGATATCCCCTCTGATTGGTCACCAGACCCTTAGACTGGTTACTATAGTAACTCCTGGGCTCAAAGGTGGAGTCTCACAGGGGACATGTGAGGTTCTCTCCCCCTCCTTCCTTATTGTTTTCCTATTCCCTTTGGGCTTTCTTCTTCTCCTTCTGGATGAAGGGCTTTCTTCCCTTTATTTTGTAAATATAGAGCTTTTTCTGTTCCCACCTCCCTCATTCTATTGAAATATACCTTCTGCTTCTCTGCAGATCTGTGCTTCCTCCATGGTCCCCTTCATTTTAAAAAATTCTAAAATTTCATAATACCATCCTATTTTACCCAGAAAATTCCTGTTTCTACTCTGTATCACATGTTGTTTTCTATGCATTTGTTCATTGGCTATTTCCCCACCTCGCATGCGGCTGCAAAAAGATAGGCCCTAACCGGTTTGGCTCAATGGATAGAGCGTTGTCCTGCGGACTGAAAGTTCCCAGGTTCGATTCCGGTCAAGGGCATGTACCTTGGTTTTGGGCACATCCCCAGGAGGCAGCTGATGGATGTTTCTCTCTCATGGATGTTTCTAACTCTCTATTCTGCTGGGGTCCAGCCCCAGCGGGTCCAGGGGTTCCCAGAGGTGTGGACGGAGTCGGCTAGGAAGGAAAGACACGGAGGCAGTGTTCAGGTGATCATCATAGCCAGGTCCTTCTCTTTATGGTCATCTAACATCTGTATTTATACTATTTGGTCCCAATCCTATCCATTCTATACAAAAGGCCAGGGGGCTTCCCATCTCCATTCAAAGGTTACTCTATTGTTCCACCAAGCTACAAGGAAGTAACTGAAGGAGGTCACTTCAAGCAAAGATCAAAGCGACCAACCACCCCTCTGATACTCAGTTAAAGGGTTTACTGATAAAAATCCTCACCTGGGGAAACAACCTTTCTCAGGAAGCGATAAGGGGGGGAGCAAACATATTAAGAACAGTATGCCATCTATACCAGGTCCCTTGAAACATAAGCTGTGCAGAGACTGCCTCAAGCAGCCTAGGTGGATCGGCTTCCAGCACTATTCCTCTCCCTTCCTCTCTGTGAAAAATCAATAAAATATATTTTTTTAAAAAAATGCCAACGATATCCTAATCAGATAGCGTTTGCTTTCATTTTCTTCTGTGACCTGGGAGATGCAGAGACCTCGGTTCTTAGATTCTTGTAGGAAAGAATTCAATCAAGAGACAACGTGCAGCACAGCAAGCAAAGGATTTGTTGGCCGCAGCAAAAGCATAGCCAGGACAGCGACATAAGGAAGGGCTCAATATGGAAGCGACAGGAGAGCCCAGGCTGGGCGGCTCTGGCTCACTGGGTAGTCAGGGCAAAGGGGGGCTTGGAGACAGGCTCAGGGGGTTAGCCTGCCGCTGCCCGTTGCTCCTCTGGTTGCAATTCTCATGGGAACCCGTAGAGTTTAAGAGAGTCACGCCTGTAGGGGAAGAAGATGGCAGAGGGAATGTCTGGTGTGTGCTCCCCAAAGGGAGGGTACTTATCTCCCTCTTGCAGGTGGGAATCTTCCGGGAGATCTCAGGGGAGGGTCTCAATAAAATATTCATCAGCTTTCCAGGTGCGTTCTTTCAGGGTCGTGGTCTCCACTGATTGGTCAGTGCCAGGGCAGGGGGTTCTGTGGTAGCCATGGCATCACTTGCCTGAGTTTTGCTGTTTTTCTGGGCCTGGAACTGAAATACAGCTGAGGCCTAGATGTTATCCCTAGGGAAGAAAACTACATGACCAGCCATATACTGGGGGGACTGGGGGTGGGTTATCCTGAGGGTGAGGTCCTTGTTGTCCCAATTTTGCCCCTTGCTAGGCACCTGGGCTTTTTGCCCTGGTGACCTTCTGTGCCCGGCCTGTTGTCCTTGCTCTGCTCATGTCTGCCTAACTGCCTATCACAGCTGGTTGGAGAAGACCCTCAGTCAGCAGGGTCTGTGGTGATTGCCCAGGGAGCCCTGGGTACCAGGAACCTGCTGATCTTTCCAGGCTCTGAGACACAGGGGACTCCTCCCTCATCCCTCCTCCCCTCGGAGGCCCCATCCAGGCATACGTGGAGAATAGGAGTCCACCTACCTCCATTTCCACTCCCACTGTTCTCTCTTCCTCCAAACTCTGGTGCTCACTTGTGGCAGGTCCTCAATGGACTCCGGTGTGTGTCTTCGTGCCAGCGCCATCCTTTCTGAAAACCTGCTTCCTCTCTCCTCATTTGTCACCGGTGACATGCTCAGAACCACTCTGCACATGTGTGAAGTAGTAGGCATTTCTGTTCTCCATTCCTCCTCCTCCTCCTTCTTCTTCTTCTTCTTCTTCTTCTTCTTCTTCTTCTTCTTCTTCTTCTTCTTCTTCTTCTTCTTCTTCTTCTTCTTCTTCTTCTTCTTCTTCTTCTTCTTCTTCTTCTTCTTCTTCTTCTTCTTCTTCTAGGAACACGCCACTGTGTCACTGGGAGCAGGAGGCAGGATGAGATTCCAAAATCAGTTCATTTTCCTTTCCCACCTCCCTCTGTGAAGGTCTCCTAGCCCCAACGTTGGCTCCTCAGAAGTCCCCACAGTATTGTTCAGGTTGTAGAGGTGCACGGGGCACAGAGAGGGACATGGAAGAAAGGAGGCACCCAGGACTCCGTCCACAGGCAGTTTGCTACATGCTCTTAATCTGAGACTATTTCTTTTTACATGGTGACGATCGCACACATATATGAATTTTGTTTCTTTTTGTTTTTGCATTTAACATAAGACAGCATATGCATTCTGACGTGACACTCACAGTTTTGCATAATTATTATCTTGAACAGAGTCATTAGTCTCCTGGCCCACATCCCTTTGTTGTTGACATAAGCCATGGAATACTTCAGGACAGGTTCCGCATTTCCACTGTTTTGCTAGGACAGATAATGTGTGGGGCGTAGCTACAGTGTTTGCACGCATCAAGCCTTGGACTGAGGAGAGGGCACAGTCCTCTCATGGCCACGTGCAAGTCCCAACTTGGATGGCAGGGCCCTCCCAGCACAATGATAGCCAACAGCTGTATTTGTAAGCTTGAACCTATGGTCCGAATTCTTGGCCCCACGTGCCTGAGTGACCTGGGCTTGATAGAGTTCAGGTGCATGTAGTTGAGTGCGACTGAAACCCATGAGAATGTTGTAAACATCTTGACCACGCCCTTACATTGCTTCCTGGCACCTGCTATAAAATAAAGACATGGCTTGTCGGCGCTGGCGCTGTCTCTCTCCACCCAAGTAGGCAGCGTCCCACCGAGACCCTGCTTTCATTCTCTTGTCTGTCTTTTCTAAGCCTTTCACCGCCCCCACACAGGGTCACTGACCCAGGCTGAGCTGGCATGGCACATAAGGCGCCCTGGGGCTGAGTATGCCATGGCAGTGCCGGCTCCCCCACAATGTTGTGATGAATTCGAACCTTACCCACATTTCGGATTTACCACAATTCCTAGGTAAAAAGCGATGAATGAGACTGTGGACTCACCTTGCCTAACCTTGTGTCTTAAGAATTGTTCTCCTACTTCGGCTGGAGAACATGGCGGGGGTCTCCCCGTATCTTCACCAGATCGACGTTTTTGTGTTTTATGTTTAGCTCATAGGTTTTTGCAAATTTTTATTAGAATGCTGTTGACGTTTTCATATGACTTTAAAAATAATAGAGTCAAATACGGCTGCAAGTCAGGGATGTCTTTATTTCTGGGAAGGCCCTGTTCAGGGCATAGGGACGGAAGATGAAAGTATGGAGAGATTAGGAATTGGCTTTCATGGTATCATACAGCCATTTGCGGTACATGCATATGCGGGTGTATATCACTGGCTCAAAGGGCAGGATACAAGGGAAATGGCCGGCGGACACCACGCCTTGCAGGGAACCTTCGCAAATCAGCGGACTCCCGGAGTCACCCTGGAGGGGAGAGAGCAGATTAGCTTTGATTTCAAAATAACCAGCAATTAGGCCCCACAGACACCAGACTTATCGGGCCTTTATCCTGCCAGAACACAGCCTTCCACCCTGGCCAATGGGAAGAGACTCATTGTCTGTGTGAACCAATGGCAGAGCAGGAATGAATGCTATCAAGGAGAGGACCAACCAGGTTTTTGGAAGACATTGGCTTGAGCCCTAGTCAATTACAGGTAGAGGGCGGGGCTTCCAGGAAGTCAGAGCCCCATTTATTTGTCAAGCTCCTGGGAGAGGAAGCATTACCCCCAGGGAATCCCATACATTGCCTTTCCCAGGATGGAGGACAGGGTAGTCCTGGATACCAAGGGTGGGACCAATGCCCTAATTTACAGGCTCTAGTGCTAAATAAAAGTTAGGACCACCAGGTTCAAATATAGGAAGTTTAAGAAAAGCGAGTGCGTTAAACCCATTGCGGGACTGTCCCGAGTTTGCGACTCTGTGTCCCTGCACAGTTTGCAGAAATATGAATCAAGTCCTCAGTGGGGAACCAGGGCGAACCCCCCATTTTTAGGACATTCAACCTTGTCCCATCACCTCTCTTCCTAAAACACACCATTTCACCACCCCTGAAAGCTTAGAGTGCAGATGTCAGCAAGATAGTGGGGGTACAAAGAGGCAAAGGATGAAAGAGAGAGAGAGAGGGATGGAGAGAAGAAAGGGAAGGATGAAAGAGACAGAGAAGCAGAAGGTTGGGGGTAAGGAATGAGGCAGAGATGGAGAAAATAAAAGAAAATTGACAGAGGCTGGAGAGAGAGGCAGAGAGGCAGGGACGGAGGAAGGGAGGGAGGGGGAGAGAGAGAGAGATAGAGATATCACAACACAGAACACAGAGGGAACCAGAAAATGAAATGAGATGTGAGGATTTAGCTGCTTTGGCTCAGTGAATAGAGCATTGACCTGCAGACCGAAGGGTCCCATATTTGATTCCAGTCAAGGACCCATGCCTGGGTTGCAGACTCGATCCCCAGTGGGGGGCGTGCAGGAGGCAGCCAATCAATGATTTTCTGTCATCATTGTTGTTTCGCTCTCTCCCTCCCCCTTCCTCTCTGCAATCAATAAAAATAGTAGAAATAAAAAGAAGTGAGGTGTGAGGAGAGATGAGGGGAGAGGGTTCTGAGAGTCAGAGAGGAGGTTACAGAGATGAGGAAGGGAGAACAAACAGGAGGGGCTCCTTCTTTCTTCAGAATTAGAACCAGATACACAGACATAGAAGCAGGGCATGAGCCTCAGGCGCATCTCATTGACTGCAACAGACATTTTAAGGCCGATTTTAAAAATCAAATTTAATATGAAAAAAATCAATGAGGAACCTACTTTCCAGTTTTTTGTTTTCTGTTTTTAATTTTTTCTTTATTTCAGAAAGGAAGGGAGAGGGAGAGAGAGATAGAAAGGACAATTAGAGAGAATCATTGATTGGCTGCCTCCTGTACGCCCCCTACTGGGCATTGAGCCTGCTATCTGGCCATGTGCCCTTGACTGGAATTGAACCTGGGACCCTCCAGTTTGCAGGACGATGCCGGATCCACTGAGCCAAACCGGCTAGGGCTGTATGTCAGTTTTAGATAAAGACTGGGTCATTACAGTGCTGTCTGAATCACATAGAAGCCCGAAGCAAATGGGAAATGCAGCCCACTCTGGTTGCTGTTTTTGTTGAAAATTCTGATGCTTTGCTCATCATAAATTATTTTTTAAATATTTCATTGGAATATGATATTTCCTGGTCACTGAGCTTTTGGTGAGCCCTTAAAGCTTGTGCTTGTAGCCAGTACCTCACTGCCCTCCCCATAGTCCCAGCCCCATTCCCACCCCCAGTTTCTATCCTTCAGCTTTGTGCCCGCCCCCAAGGCCACGCAGGCCCCCGTGGGCTCCCACCCTGACCCGGGCAGAGAACTGAATATAGAGAGCCAGGAAAGTGGGGCTGGTAAGGTGTGAGGGAAGGCTCAGCACCAGGGTCAGGCCCTGGCACACTGGGTGGAGGGGGAGACAGGCCTGGGCTGAGAAGAAGCTGAACCCAGGGCGGGGGAGGAGGGGACTCACTCTGCAGATGTCTGAGAGCCCGTCGGGGGCAGCCGCACAGAGCATGTGGTATTTCAACAGGGTCCAGTAAGTCTGCTTGCAGTCCCGGAAGGAGGTGATGTTGACATTTGAGCACATGAGCTCTGATGGATGTGTTGCTGCTGCAGAAGTTGGGGGGGAGGGAGGGGCAGTCAGAGGCTGGGTCCTGTGGACCTGTGGGTGCTGACGTAAAAGAATGGGGACCCTGGACATGGAAAGAGGAGGAGCTGGGTGACCCAATACGATGGTTATGAAAAGGGTCCTATTTCTTGGACTTCCGGGTCTTCGGAAGGAAGGGACCTGTGTCTGAACTTCTGGGTTTGAACGTACTGTGCTGAGTGGCCCTCTTATAGCACACCCGCCCCACTCCAACTCTCAGGGTCCTGGAGTTCAGCTGAACCCAGCTCTGGGGTTACCTTCCCTGCATTTGCTCTTATCTGGAACCCCTGAGGCAGCTAAAGCCAGATGCCCGCACTCTACCTCCGCCCTCATTCCTGAGGCCAGGTAAAGGGGTTGAACTCCGCAAGTTCCAGCTCCACCATCCCTAGTGGCATCTACCAAGGGACGGACGAGGTGCTGGCATTGAGGGACACCTCATGGGTAGAGGGGAGCTGGGGACCAGGTCTCCTTTAGTCTGAGGGAGAAGGGGCCTGAAGGCCAAACCTCCTGGGTCTGTGGGTGGAAGTGGCTGTGACCCTAAACACTTGGCTCTGATTGAGGTGGTGACTGGGGTTCTAAACTCCTGGGTCTGTGGGATGGAGGCCTGGCGGGAGATAAGTCTAAAGGTCAGGTTTCCGGATCTGATGGTGCAGAGCCTGGGGGTCTGGCTTCCTGGGTGTGAGAAAGGAGCTGTTTGGGGAGGGGGTGTGGTGATTGATACCTTGGGACTGTCTCCTGTGTCTGAGGCCTGAGAAAGAAGGGAGCTGGGACCTTGGTGACTGGGGTCGCAGCGGCAGCCTCACCTGCATCCCCGGTGGTGACGCCCCAGCCAGACACAGTGCAGCTTTTCCCAACGCCTTTGCATCTGGACGGTAGGTCAATTGTGTTCACAGTAGGCGAGAGCGTGGCTGGGCTGCTCAGCTTCACCAGCATGATGTCATGATAATCGGTGCGGTTGTTATACCGGGGGTGGACGAAGGACTGTGTGGCCCTGATCCTCTGGGCACCCGCATCAACGAGAAGATCACTACCCATTTGCACAATATACTCACTTAAAAAAAAAAAAGTAACGATCAGAGGGAGACTCTGTGATTGAGAGAAGGGTACATAGACCCAGAGTTAAGAGGACAGAGGCCCAGAGAAAGAAAGAGAGAGAGAGAGAGAGAGA